GGGATAATAAGTGATCTAGAGACGACTTCAAGTATACAGGAGGGTGTGTGTAGGTTATATGCAAATACTAGCTTGTTTATCCAAGGGAGTGGAGCATAGGGATTTTCCCATGTCTGCAGATGCTGAGGGGTGACTACAGGTCCCTTCTTCCCATCATGCCCTGGTTAGGGCTTTAGGGGTTCAGTAAAAATCACCTCCCCTCCCCATCTGAAATGAGGGGCAATTGGGAAATAAAAATCCAGGAGAGTAGTGAGTAGAGATCAATGTGAGCTCTGTATTGATAAAGCGATAGGAGAATACAGCTGCCTAGTTGTGGTCAAAGGTCAGCCTGAGAACACTCTGTGGATTCTACTTCCCCAATCCTGACCTTGGCCAGCTCACTAGAAGGAGGTGTGAGCTCCTGAGTCACCTGCTGTTTTAGTCAGCTTTTTACACTACGGGGACTAAATGATGTGACCAACACAACTGCAGAGGAGGAAAGGTTTATTTAGGGCTCATGGTTTCCGAGGTCTTAGTGCATAGAAGGCAGGCTCCATACCTCGGGGCTGGAGGTGAGGCAGAACATCATGCAGAAGGAAGGAGCTCACACAGCGATCAGAAAGCAGAGAGAGAGAGAGACTCCACTTGCCAATTACAAATACATACCCCAAAGCCACGTCCCAATTCCCACCTCCTCCAGCCACACCCACCACTTCAGTTCCAGCTCAGTTAATCCCTATCCGGGGGTTAAGTCACTGATTGGGTTAAGTCTCTCCCAACCCAATCACTTGCCCTCTGAACCTCCTTGCGTTGTCTCACACCCCACATCCAAACCATAACACCCACTTACCTGGGATTCCTGGGTGGAGCCCAGGGAGGAAGAGGAGACATTCCCACTCTCAATGACCTTTAATAACTTAGCCCCACCCACTGAGAGCTGCGGTTCCAAATCAAGTAAATGGCTCTGCAGGGTGGAAGGGAAGAGTATTACTCTCTTGGTGTTCCCGCCATGTGGAAACTCCAGGCAAGAGGAACAAAAGTTCCCCCCAAGGATCCCCAGAGAGGACCTGGTTTTGCTCATTCTCTAGGCTAGGAAACCAGCCTCGTGGGAGGTACTGTGACTTGCCAGGATCACAGAGATATCCCCGGTATGAGGTGGCAGAGAATTTCAAAGCCAAATCTGTGTAACTCCAAACCCTTGACATAAGTCCCTCCCTCTAGAAGCTGGTGAACTCCTAAGGGAAGCATCCACACTACAACAGCTGCAGTTTGCAGTGGTGTCAAATGTCTGCTTATCAAAAGGCTCATGGCAGGGAGTCCAGCTTAAAGCCCAGGTTCTGGTTCATGTTGTCTCTGCTTGTCCTTGTCTTGCTGTCGGCCTCTTTTCTTGACTAGGACAATGCCCCCGGGAGCAGGAACCAATGTCTCTGCCCAGGGACCTTTTCAACACCTCTGCCTTTGGACATTCCTTTGTTGGGTTTATAGTTTGAGACACTTAGTTGTATCTTCTTGAAATCCACCCGTGTTCTACCCAGAGGGAGGGCAGGACAGGGTGGCAAAGATACTCGATTTATGGAATAGTGGGATCAAGGACTTGAGGCAATCCAGGCTCCTGTTTAGTTGGTAACCCTTCAAATGATGGTCCTTAAAGATTTCTCCAACAGGTATTCAGGGGTTACAGAAACTGTTAATAGAAATTGTATAGAAAGAGAAATACACTCGTTAATTACTCTTCTCAGGCAGAAGTGGTGTCAACATTATGAAAATTTTTTTTAATTAAAAAAAATTTTTAAAAATGTCATGCCTTTCCCACTTTTCTGTGATCCTTATACCCTCTTTGCTTTTGTTTTGCAATTCGCTAAACTGTGAAACTTTCTGGTGGGTAAAGAGTTTTCTTCTGAGCTGATGGAATAAATCCCCTTTCCCACTAAACAGCCCTACTCCCTGGAGCTCAGCTTTGCAGAATCTCAAGCCACCAAGACGGACCTGCCCTCTGAAGGAGGCTGCGTTTGACAGGGATGTTTTACTCCCAGTTTCCACTGGAGGGCGCTGTCGACTTTGATGGAAGTGGAGCCATGTTCCATTTCACCAATGTATTCCAGTCTTGTTTCAGCTCCCCTGGTGAGTCTGTGCCCTGGGCAGTGGGTCAGCTGACCACTCCTGGCTTTTCTCAAGTCCCACAGGGCAGTAGTGTCCGGGCTCTAATGAGACCCCAGTCTGATTTCTACAGGGCTAATCCCACACATTCAAAGCCTTTAGTCACCCTGAAAAAATGTGCCTTTATCTAGCACCAGGGCCTACCCTAGTCTCACCGTGTGTGTGTGTGTGTGTGTGTGTGTGTGTGTGTGTGTCTGTCTGTCTGTCTATGACCTGTCTCCATGCTTGTCTGTGACTTGATTTCTGTGATTGCATCCTTTGCCTTTGGTAAAGTGTCAACTAGGCATCTCTCAAACAGTCTGCTTCCTGGGTCCTAACTTCTACCTTTGCAGAATGATCTCTGTGTGGCCTTAGCCAACGGCTTCTCCAACTTGCAAAGGAATCATCTGGGCATCTTGCAGAAATGCACACTCTGACTCTAGGTTGTGGCGGTGAGTCTGAGATTCTCCATTTGTACCAACCCCTAAGAGGTGATTGACACACCATATTTCAAATCACAAGATGTGACCTATTTGTCCCAGCCAGGAGTTTTCCCATTAGTTTTTGCATACAAGGGTGTCACTCCTCTCCTCCCCACTCAGGGAGGGAGGCTGGTCCATCTACTTAGAGTTTTTGCCTCTGATTTTTTTTTTCATAAATTCCTCTTGTAGGGACCCCCAGCCCCCCGACCTGGCTTTGCTTCATCTCATCTATTCCTCTTTCCCTAGTTGAGTGATCATGAGTCATTGTGTTCATGTTTGTTTCTGCCACATCTGTCCCCTGGGTTGTTTTTCACTGTCATACAAAATAATCTCTTTTCATTGTGATTCCTTTTCTTCATTAAGACCTGACCTAGGATACAATAACTGAAATACTAATGGCAATGACAGGCGTCAATGTTGCAAAGTGCTTAAACACCCATGAGACCCACAGGGAGAGGCTGGGGGCCAGGCCACAGTGTGTCTTCAACTCCCCAGCAGGGTAGCATTGGGTTAGTTACTTAACCTCTCTGTGTCTCAGTTTCCTCATTTGCAAAATGTGCCAACACTGCTGCTTCGTGAGGTCCTGGGGAAGATGAGGTGAGATCACGCAGCGGGGCACTTAGAGGAGGCCTGAGGCGCAGTAGGTACTTGGTAATACCCAGCGATGCTTCCCTCTTCAGTGCTGTGGAGGAGAAGAACTGTTATTCCCATTTCAAAGATGAGGAAGCCAAGGCCCACAGAGGAGAAATGACATGCACTCAAGAGCCCCCAGCAAGAATGGTGGCATGTGGGAAAGCAGTTGTGACTCCAACTCTGGGGCTCCTGGCACCTCCCCAGGCTCCCAACCACAGGGCTTCATTTCGTGGGTTCACAGCCCGGAGTGTGCCTGCTTCCCCAGCTTCCCGCTGATCTTTTGTTCTCTCTTGCCTTCTAGTGGAGCGCTTCCAGCTGGGGTGATTCATGGATTTGGGACCGCGTGGCTCCCATTAATCTCGAGGAACGTCATAAGGCAAAACCCACATCAATCAAGCCTGCAAATGACTCATCCATCTTTGCAGGTGACACGTGGATTAAGATGAACATGGAGTGAAGAATAACTATAGAATAACTATTTAGATTTATGAAAATTGCATGCGAGCTTCCTTCGGGTCCCCAAGTGGAGGCTGGCTCTGTTTGCTCAGCCTAGCTGAACTTCAGGGATAAGAGATGACGTTGTCATGATGGAAAGTTCTGGAAGCTTGGAGTCCAAGGGGCTGGGACTTGCAATTTTACTACTTCCCAGGCTTTTGATCCTCAACAAGCCCTTTAATCTCTTACAATTTGTCTTCTCATTTCATTCTTCATCCTTCCGGCCAACCAAGGACTTAGCGATTGTACAAATGTAGAAACTGAAGTCTAGAGAGGTCAGGTGACATGCCCAAGGTGAGCACCAAAGGATGAAGCAGGGGCTCACAGCCCGGATCTGAGTTTGGAAACCTGAGCCCTTGTGCCATTGTATCTCACAGAGGACATGACAGGGCAAGTCTGAGAGTCCCAGACACTGAGTAGGAGCCTTTCTGAAACTCCATCTGGAGGAGAGAACCCCTGTGTATCGATCCCTTATTCTTCCCAGTGCCGTTGCATCTAGTAAGCTCTCAATTAGTAAGAGTTGAGTTGCATTATTCCCCGTGGAAATGGCTCTGTTTTTATTTAATGATTTGCTTAGATGCATTTTAATATGCAGACCACAATGCTCCTCGGGCACCCTCCTCTGGACTTCCAGGCTCAGGCGTTCATTATTTTATGAGACACATATGTCATGCCCAGCACAAGCCCTTTGCTTAAACCAACACAACATGCAAATAGAAATTTCATGTAAAATCACATTCAGACAGCCTCAAAGTAGAAACAGATGTCTGAAAAATATGAACGCCAGGCTTATTAAATATTTTATCATCAAATATTTCATACATTTCAAAAATGTCATCTGTGAAAACACAGAAAATACCGCCTCAGGAGAACCAAAATATTTAATCACTTTCAAGAAATTCTTAAAAATAAGTCTTCACCTCAGAACTATTCCAGGCAGAGAACAAATTTTCCAGGTGCTGCAAAGCTATATTTATTATATTTTCATCAAAATCAGTAACCTAGTTGAAGGAGATACAGTAATCAGTAAGGTCATTATTAGGTAAGATAATGACTTCTGAATGAATTCTCTCATTAATCTCATTACAAAATGGTAATGGTACCTGACTAATCATGCCAGAGGGGAGAGCTGTGTTGAATCAGAGCAAAATCAAGGCTGTAATCACAGAGCTGCTCTCGCCATCTCCGTGAACACCTCACTCAGGGCTCGGGACTGGCTTCAAGTTCTGCTGACCATGCGGAACCCTTGATCCCACGGGTGGGGCCCTGGGTGTGAGGAGGAGCAGCCAGAGAAGCCCTGGGCGGCAGCAGTCAGGAAAGCTGGGCTTTTCCTGCTCTGTGCCCTACTTTCTGGCTGCCCTTGGACAGGTCACGCCTGTCTCTGGGCTCCGTTTGTTTGCCTGATGTCGTTCCCCCTTTCCATCCTTGCCCCTGGGTAGAGTCCAGTCCCTATCTGGCAACCAGCGTGACTTAGACACCACTTGGCTCCTGGCGGCGGCTGCCCATCTCACCCAGAGAAGGACCCAGGTGAGGTGGGCGCCCTGTGCCATCTGCCCCCTCCCTGCTGCCTGCTTTGCTCCAATCACTGAGCTTCTTGCTGTTCCTTGGACACAACAGGCATGTGCCCGCTGTTCCCTGTGCCTGCATCGTCCCATCCAACCCCTGCACTCCAGATAGCCTCACCACTCAAATGTCACTTTCTCAGTAACACCTGCTCTGACCGCCATATTGAACACCCAATCTCTCCAGCACGGCCATCTCTGTTCTGTTTCTCCAGGTCCCTGGCATTCACTCTATGATTGATTGGACTTCTTGTCTGCCTCCCCCACACTTCCCCCTGTGGAATGTGAGCTCCACAGGGCGAGGACCTCTGTAGACGCGCTACGTTCGCCTGGTGCAGGACAGATGCGCAATCACTCTGGTGAGTGTGGAATGTATCACTGGCTTGTGGATTCCTGGTGGGACACGGAGGGAGGGAGGAACCCCAGGGTGTGAGACGCATGACCAGGGGTGACTAAGTGCAGGCTCATGGCAGAGGGGACCCTCTGGTGGCTGGGCTGGCTTTGCTTTTCTATCCTGTTAGAACCTGGAGAGACATTTAAGTCCCTTTTATCTCCATGAGAATGGGCCCCTGCTGAGAACACCCATACTGGGGGATGGTGTCAACAGAGATGTCTCAGGCCAGTCTGAGTCCCACAGAATTGACTGAGACACAAAGGATGCCTTGTCCAAAGTTCCAACTGCAGCCTAGAGGTACAGGACCCGGGTGACATGGCTGCAGCTGCAGGCACGCAGACAGTCTTCAAGAAATGCAGGACCAGTGTGTGGAAGCTGGATTACCTTTATGTTAGGTGACTTTAGAGCAGGGATTGCAGGTAACTGAAAAACCCACTCCAAGCCGATGGTGAATATCACTAGGATCACAGACACTTCCCTATAGAGCCAGATGGAGCCTCAGAATCCCTCAACACCGTGTCCAAACTTCCCAACCCAACTTAATGGAGTTGACATGAGATAAAACAGTGGGACTAGAACACACGAATAGGCGAACAGGTCAAAGACTGAAAGCCATTCCCATCAAGAAAAAGCATTTTGGGCTGTGACTGTGGCTCAGTGGTAGAGCGCTTGCCTAGCATGTGTGAGGCGCTGGGTTCGATCCCCAGCACCACATTTAAAAAAAAAAAAAAACTAAACAAAATAAAGGCATTGTGTCCATCTACAAAGACAAGAGAAGGCATTTTGTTGGAAGCAAAGCTGGTGTAACTTTCCCTGGAGAAGGGGACAGTGAGTTTCTCCTCACTATTGAAGAGGAGGGTGTAGCTCTTCCCGATTTCCACGCTGGCAACCCATGGCCAGGAAAGTTTCCAAATCCTCACTGGCACATGGTAGACACAATTCCAGCTCTGAGTTCAGATCTGTACTTATATCTACCGGGGCACCTTAGCAGCCAAGGACACTGACTTGTGCTGGAGAATGAGAGAGAGTAGACACTACGGTAGACGGTGCCCTGGAAAAGCTCCACAGTTGCTGACAGGAAGTTCCACCATGTTTTCTGCTAACCATGTTTCCACTTTAATGGCTGTTGCTGGTGCTGCTTCCCCTGGGTTTTGCTCAAATACTATCTAAACTCCAGATTCGGTGATTCGTCCTGTAGCCCTCCTGCCATAGGGTCCCTTTCGTCTCCTTGTGGCCAGGCCCGGTGAGCTCCGACCCCAGGGCCCTCACCTGCGTTCCCTGACAGGCACTGGGAGCCTCTGGCTCCCCTACAGGACACTACAGAAGACACTGGGCTCTTTCTCTCTACTTAATTATACCACGCGGCTGCCCCTAATGGTGCAGGGGTGCCCTGTTAAGGCATTTCCCATAGGCTGGGAGGGAGCATGTGGTGGCACTGTCACCTACGTTCCCTTGTTCCCTTCTGCCAGCTGTTTCTTCCTGTCAGAGTGCTGTTCTGGGACTTCCACTCTGAATCCCTCCTTGGCACATTGCCTTCTCTTCCCTCTTCTTTCCTGGCCTCCCTGTTCCCTCCGTTGGGAACTCACCTTCTTGCTCTCCGCCATCTTCCCTATAACTTGAATTCATGGGAGAACTCCAACTCGGAGACCACCAAGCTCCGTTCTTGAAGTAAGGAAGTGTTTATCATCTAAAGAACTTTTCAACAAAGCCTGTCTTTTCAAGGGTGCTCTTTTGCTATTGCCTCCCAATTCTAGTTTCACTGGAAGTGGGACAATGACTTTGTTTTTGATCTGGACTCCAGGCAGTTCTCTTTGACAGGATGAAGTTCATTGATTTAATGGGTGGGGAGCCACAGGACAAAAAGACTCACAGAAAGAAAAGCACACGAATTTCTATCTTCCAAAAGCCATCTTCCTCTGAAATAACCAGAGTGCACACAAGTGATTAATTATCAGAGTGTTTATTATAGCATTATTCGTAACTAAACTAAAATTGGAAACAAATTGAATGTCCAACAAGAGGGGATTATAAATTGTGAGTTTTAAGTGATACTGTAGATGTTAACTTACATCCGTAAACTTTTAAAAAACGTTTTTGGGTGAAGAAAGTCCAATATAAAACAGCATATTCAGTTTGATGACATTCTGTAAAATGTGTAAGTGTCTCTCTTTGTAAAATAAAATGAGTACTTTTTATTTTCTTTGTTCTCTTTCCAAATTTACTAGTGAACATGGTTAGTTTTTTGGTTGGAAATAAATGACTAATAAATGCTCTGTTTGGTTTTAGGAAGAGAAAACATAGGTGCATCTCTCCATGGAGAGGACTAGGGTGCAGAGGATGAGGTGCCATCGAGCTCCTCCAATTCTGAGCGATTCTGGTTCTCTGCTCCGCCAGCTTTGGCATCCAGCCCAGCAGCGTGATGAGAGCCTGGAAGTGTCTTCTCCAGGCTCCGTGGCTCCCAGGCCTTGGATGATGGCCAGTGCTCCAACCAGCACAGAGAGTGCCTGCTCCCCACGACGCTCCCCACCCTAGGAAAGCTCCTATTTATTAACAGTCATGGTGCCAAGAGAGCTTTCTGCCTGTGCCCAAGCCCCGAGTACCATGGAGCTTCAATCTTTTATGAAACAGCTTTTCATTTCTTCCTTCTCTACGAAGGGCTTTCACAAGCCACCGAGTGGTTCTTTGCCCATCAATTTTTAATCTTGCTCAAGTTTTATTTTCCACTTGACCAATGCTCCGTTCATAAATAACACATCAAAACTTTGCTCCAATTCCTTCTGTAGGTTTGGTTTGTTTGTGTTTATTTTTAAACGGTCTCCTGTTGGGGAGGAAGGAAGTGGTTACCCCCGTGTGCAGACTTTTCCATGGCTCCTGACTGCCAACCAGACGTGGCCCACTGTCTGTCTCAGCATGGCACCTGAGACTGCCCACGATCGGTGCCATCATCCTGGCTAGATCCTCTCCTGGTTCTTCCAACACGCCCCGGAAGCCAGGAACATTGCTGATCCAGAACATGGTCCACTCCCCAGCCTTCCTCCCTCTGTTCACCCCATGTCCTCTACTGGGGGAGCTGGCAAGAGCCGGAGTGATTACTGTCTGTTTACCATGTTTTTATCTGATTCTCTCTGAAGTATGTTTCCATTTCTAATGACCTAAACTGCCTTGTCCCTTTGAAGGATAGCTGTATTGTGATCAAGTTCTGACTGGAGGTGAGACAGGTCTCTGAATTATAGCCTGTGGCACGAGTGAAAATCAGTATTGACTTTTCCACCAAGTAGAGGGTGATGCCCACCTAACAGGTCAGTAATGAGCATTAAATACCGTTGTATAGGTAGAAGCACTAGAGATGGACCTGGTGTATTGTAGACTTCCATACTTACCAAAATCTGAGTGTTGGGGGCAATATTTGTGTGTCTTGCTGCTTGGGTGTGTTTGAAATAGCTGGTTCTTCACCACCTAGATGCGACAGTTGTTAACACTTGATCCCTATGTGCTTTGTCTGTCTACCTGTCTTTATTCATCTCTCCATTCACAGTGCTATATCGTTAATATAACATTAGCAATAATTCCAAATTATCATTGCTATAGTTTATATCTAAAATGTCCCTCAAAGGCCCATGTATTAAACAGTTCATTCCCCAGCTTGGTGTTATTGGGAGATAGTAGAAATTTTAAGAGATGGGATCAGATGGGGAGTTTTAGACCACAGGGTGCATACCCTTGAAAGGGGATTAGGAGTTTCTGTTCTTCTCCTCTCTTTGTCACCTCCCACCATTTGTTTTTTTGCTCCTGCCATGATGTTCTGCCACAGCCCATAGCAATGGAATCAATCAACAAAGAACTGAAACCTCTTAAAACTGTGAGCCAAAATGAACCTTTCTCTTGGTAACTTGATTATGTCAGGTATTTTGTTACCGTCATGAAAAACTGACTAATACAATTATTTCATATTTAATCTTCATTAAAAATCCCCAATTATACCCAAAATATTTTTTATAATTTTCCCCCAACCAAGATCCAAGCAAGTTTCATACATTGTTATTTGGTTGTTATGTCTCTTCCATTTCTTTTATTTTAGAATATTTCTCACATAGGATTTGTTGGAAATACTAAGCTACTGTTTTGTAGAATGTTTCACATTTTGAAGTTTCTGATTGTTTCCTCATGGTATAATTCAACATTTTCTTCAATCCTTTGTATTTTCCATCAACTCATTAGCATAGACAATAGATTTTCCTGAAATTGTCAGGTAAAGGCTTAATTCTTTCCCTTTTGTTACCAAGTTTCAGAGTAAAGGATTGGAATAGTGGTTACTTCCAATGTGGGCATCTTAGTTTTCCTTCTTCCTCTCTTTCTTTCTCCATTAAGCACTCATTTTTAAAAAATAAAAATAAAAATCATTCTAAGGCTGGGGCTGTCACTCAGCAGTAGAGACTTGCCTCACAATGTGAGGCACTGGGTTTGATCCTCAGCACCACATAAAAATAAATAAATATGGCTGGGGATGTGGCTCAAGCAGTAGCGCACTCGCCTGGCATGTGTGGGGCGCTGGTTTCGATCCTCAGCACCACATAAAAATAAAATAAAGATGTTGCATCCACCAAAAACTAAAAAATAAATATTAAAAATTCTCTCTCTCTCTTAAAATAAATAAATAAATAAATATATTCTGTCTTTCTACAACTAAGCAATTGAAAAAAAAAAATCTATCCAACGTTACATCCATTCATGAATTCATCTGGGTATGACAAAAAGATCTAATTTATTTTTTTCCCAAGTGTCTATTTAATTGTCTTGTGTGATTTTTCTTAAAGTCCATGATTCTCCAAGGATTTGAAATTCTTCCTTTAATAACATCAATTTTCCATGTGCAGTGGACCTATTTCTGGTCTTTTCATCCCGTTCCATTGCTGTATCTGTCAAATTGTGTGTCAATATTGCATAATTTTCATTTTAGAGGCTTTCTCATCCATTTCAACATCCGAGGGAATGAGCTCCCCAAGGATTGCTCTGCATTTTTGGCACTTTCTTGACTGTTCTTGTTTCCATATGAACTTTAGAATCAACTTGTCTAGTTCCAGGAAAAAAGAAGTGTTGGTATTTTTACTGCCTTTATGCTAAATTTATTATTTATTTATTGGGGGCCAACCTGAATTATATTACATAAGAAGAACATCTATGAAAATGATCACGTTATTTTTCTTAGGATTATTAATATTTAAAATTACATTAATTTTGTAATATTGAACTATCCTTGAATTATTATAATGAAACTTGGTCCTGTGTACTATTTTAAATGTGCTTTGGGGTTTCTTGGTAAAATTTTATTGAGACTTTTGTATAGTTATGGTTAAGTGAGATTGAAATATAGCTTTATTTTTGCACAGTATCTATCAGTTTTAGATATCAATTTTATTTTCACTTTATCTGCTCCCCCTCTCCCCCCCAAAAAAAAACCAAATCAAATCTTACATGCTTTTTCTGTTATTTGGAACAGTTTGAAAGGCACTGCAGTTGTCTGATTTTTGCAAGAAGAGAATTCCCCTTTGAAATCATCTTGGCCTAGTGCTTTTGAGGTACAGTAGCTCTTCTATAACTTTATCATTTATTGTGGAAATTAATTTATATGAGCTGTCTTCATTTATGCCAATTCTGGTAAATGATATTTTTCCTAGAAAATCATCTATACTATTTGAGCTTTAAAATTTATGTGCACACAATTGTGTGAAAAGAGCTTATAAATTTCTTCTGTTTCAATAGAGAGTTCTCCCTTAATTTGTGTATTTCCTCTTTGAACTTATTTTTCATGATTATGGTAACTAATTGTCTGTTTAGTCTGTCTATATTTCTTTTTTTCTGGAACTTATTAAGGTTTTCAGTGTGACCTAGTATGTTGCTAATTTCTGTGAGTGTTTTTCTAAGTACTATCAAGGAGAAGGTGTTTCTTTATTATCAGGTACAATTTTTTTTTTTTTTTGCACAAGATTTAGCTCATCGATTATGTAATTTAGAAGCTTTATCTATCTTTGTCTTTGGTCCACTTCTCCTACTTGGAGTGAGGGGGTTAGTATTTAAAGACTACGTCCCTTGATTAGTGATATCCATACCCTTCTCTTTGTACCTCCGATAATTTTTCTTTTTGAAGATTGCTCTGTGTTAGTTGGTGCATAGATGTTCATTAGTATTATATCTTCATGATGAACTGTAACCTGTGGTCTCAAGGGTTCTGTTTTGTCTGAATGTTTTGGGCCTGAATTTTATCTTATTACCTATCAAGATACCAATTTCCTTTTTACCTGACATACTTTGGCTCCATTTTTTTTTAATTTTTTATTTATAGCCTTCCTGGATCAGTTTCAAATATGACTCTTTAAAAGAACAGGGCTGGGGATATAGCTCTTTCCCTGTAGGTAAATCAAGACTATTTATATTTATTGATATAAATTTATACTCAATTCTATTAGTGGTCTCTTCTCTCTGTTTTATCCTGATTTCAGCTTTCTCGGGAGATGTATTTACACTTATGGAAAGCTATTTTTTTTTCCCCCTTGATCTATGATTAAATATACCAAATGACTAAAACCAGTCCTTCTGCCAGTGTTTCTGTAGAAGTCTGCCGGGATGAAGTTCTTCCTCTGGAAGATTCCTCAGGAGGGACTCAGGAATAAATATTCTGTACGTTTTTCATATTGAGAGCTATCTTTGGTATTCTTGATATTGAAGGACAAATGACTGGATATAAAATTCCCTTTGTGGTTTTTTTTAAACTTCGGTTTCTTAGAAATGCTGCTCTATTCATGGTGCCTTTGTAGGTTGCTTCTTGTTTATTCTGTGGGCCTTTATGTAAGTTTGAAGGCTCAGAGGGTATTCTCTGTTACTTGAATATCTAATATTTTCACTTCAGAATAAGTCAGCGTTATGCCTTCTGGGGAGCCTTTTCAATATGTGAATTCATGTCTTTAATTTCACAAAAATTCTTGAATTATAATTTTAATTAAGAGTTATTCTCTATTGCTTTTTTTCTTTTCTTAATTTGAAAACTCTGATTATATGTATGTTGGTCCTCTTTGCCTATTTTTATATCTATCTTTTTTTTTTTTCTGGGATAACCTTTTGTTTGGGTTATATTTTCCTGGGTCTTTTAATCTTCATACTCTTGGTTATACAGTTGGCTCCCTGAATCTATAGGTTCTGCATCTGGGGACATGACCAAAAATAGATAAAAAATATTTGAAAAAATACTGTGTCTGTACTGAACATGACCAGACAATCCCCTTGTCATTATTCCCTAAGTAGTAAGTACCAGAGCCCTTTATACAGCACTTACATTGTATTATGTATTATAAGTCATCGAGAGAGGATTTAAAATATATGGGGAGATGTGCACAGGCTCTATGAAAATCCTATGCCATTTTACATAAAAGACTTGAGCATCTTCTATAGAGTATATGCAGATTTGGTGTCTGCAGGGTGTTCTGCAGCCAGTGCCCTGCAGGTACCAATGGGAGACTCTGTCTACTCTTCCCAAGTACCGACTAATTTATTCTCTATTTTCCATGTGATTTTTTTTTCCATTCCTTTCTTGAGGTCAACCAGATCCCAACTTCTGTCTTCCTATTGTTTACATTACTTATTTTCTGGATTTTTAACTTGTTAAAAATGCTGATCTTTATTTAATAGCTAAAGTTTCTTATTTAATTATATTTAGTTCCCTTTTGGAGGGTTTTTATAGTCCCATGTCCTTGAATGTGTTTTCATGTGCTGAAATAATTTAATTCTTGTTTTTCCATTTTTCTTAATATAATTTGGTGTGGATGTGGTGGTGTTTTATTATTTATTATTATTTATTTTGGTTGGACTTTCCTTCCAGATAAGCACAAGTAAAGTGGGGAGGAGGTTGAATGGTTTGCTTGGTGCTGAATTAAAAATCTCTTTCCTTTGTGGCTACAGAGAGAGAGAGAGAGAGAGAGAGAGAGAGAGAGAGAGAGAGAGATTGAACGTTCTCTAATAAGCAAGGCTTTTTATCTAACCTTTTTGATTTTTTTTTCCCTATTTGGCACTAGCGATTGAACCCAGGGGCACTTAACCACTGAGCTTCATCAGCTCCCCCACCCCCTTTAAAAAAATTTTTTTTTGTTTGTTTTGAGACAGAGTCTTACTAAGTTGCTTAAAGCCTTGTTTATTTGCTGAGGCTGGCCTTGAACTTGTGATCCTCCTGCCTCAGCCTCCTGAGCTGCTGGGATTACAAGTATGCACCTCCATGCTTGGCCTGATTCTTGAATACTCTCTTGTTTGAAGATTTTTGTTTTGTTTTGGGGGAATGGGTCATTTTTTATTTATTTTCATACCACGCCTCCCAGGAATACTCTCCTTTCCAAGAATCTTCCCTTTTCTTCCTGGAGGCAGCTGGATCTCTGGGCTGCCACCTCCAGGCTGTGCCCTGTGTGAACAGGTTCTTTTTCACCCCACGTCATCGGTATACAATATGCTGATCTCACACCTGTTCTTAGTGGAACTCTGTAACCTGGCATGGAGAACGCCTTTTTCCTTGGGGTGAGAGTTGGCTGATGTCTGGTTCTGCCACCCCAGGGCCTTGTCACATGCTCCTAGCGCATGCTCCACTTGCTGTTCTGCTCTGCTCTGGATCTCCGTCAACTCTACTGCTTTCAGGTTTTTTTTTCCTTCTTCTCAAAAGTTGAAGCTTCTAATGTCCTCTGACTCCTAGTTGAGCTATAGGCATGGGCTAAGAGCAATCTCATCTACTCTCCTGTTTTTTTTCTGAATTGATTTCAGGTCACGTGGGCAGATTTGTACTTCAGTCATTGCCATTATCCTTAGGGATCCTGGAGGCCAAATGTGAATCTTAGAAATGTATTAATAAATGTAATGACTGGTCTTCACTGGTCAATAATTCCAAACTCTTTCAAAGGAAGCACCAGTTCATTAATTTATTCTCTTAACTAATATTTACTGAGCAACTATTATGAGCTTGGGACTAGGCAAAATCTGATCTGCTTCTTGCCATTCGTTAAGGCCCTGGGAAGCAGCTGGTCTGGCATTAATCATTCCCTCCATCCAGGTGAGATCTCCCTGCCACCAATTATTCTCTAGGCAGATGGGCCTTTCCTCTACTTCTCAATGATTTATGCCTCAGGACTCTGTGGATCAGCTTTTTCGTTGCTGTGATTAAATACCTGATGAGGACAACTGAAAGGAGAAAAGGTTTATTTTGACTCACAGTTTCAGGGGTTCAGTCCACAGTCAGCTGACTCCATTTCTCTGGGATGGAGGTGAGGCAGAGCATGGTGGCCGAAGGGCAGGTCAGGACAGGACAGTCAGGAAGCAGAGACAGAGAGAGCTCTGCTCACCAGGGACAAAGCATCAAACCCAAGGGCACGCCCTCAGTGACCTGCTTCTTCCAGCCACGCCCCACCTGCCTACGGTTACCACCCAGTTAATCCAGCTCAGTGGATTAATCCTCTGATTAAGTCATGACTCTCATACTCTAATCGCTTTGCCTCTGAACATTTTTACATTGTCTCACACGTGAGCTTATAGGGGACTCCTCACATCTAACCCATGGCAGAGCCATTGCCCACGTCATTATCCACCTGCCCGGTTTGTATCCCTCAGACTGAAGCTTTGCCTTTTCATCTCAGTAGTTTGCTCCGTGCTCACCTCCATGACTCTGTTACTCCACGTCCTACAATTCCTCCCCAGTGCCAGTCTTAATTTATATTTAGATATTTATTTATTTGGCGGCTTGTTGATGTATTGTCTGTCCTTCCATTAGACTGTAAATCCTGGGAGGACAGAGATCTTGATCTATGTTCGATCCTGTCAAATGTTGGGAACGTGGTAGGACCGCAATAAATATTTGCTAAATGGAGGACGCCAAGAGAGGGTAGGCAGTTATCTCCAGGTCACACAGCAGGCTGATAGAGGATCCAGAATTAGAACGCTGTTCTCTTCAAGTCATTCATCAGCAGCTCTGCCTCTGCAGAGAGAGGATGCCACCCACTCACTGGGGGTAAAAGACAGATGTTCTTTCCCATTTTTGCCTCAATTAACCTATAAAAGATCCCTTCACTCATAGAATGAATATGAAAAAAAACTGGTTTCAAAAAAATTAATTAAATTCAGACCCTGTGCCCAGCCAGGCAGCCTGAGGGTCTGCGCAGAGGGTGGCGGGCAGAACCACAGCGGTTCTGAGGATGCAGATACCCAGCGGTGTCAGAGGGAACAGGTGTGGGCTGAGCATCTGCTAGGTGCAGGCAGGGTGCTGGGCCCTGGGGATTCCAAAACCATCAGGATCACATCCCCCTGGCTGGCTGGTGGGTCTCAGTCACAGAGCAGCGTGTCCAGTGCAGAGAAACAGGAGGGACAGGGGCCGAGGCGGTCCAGAGGAGCACCTAGTCCATTGTGCTCTGGGGAGGGGCGTCAGGGGCCAGCGGGAGTCACCAGATGAAGGTCAAGGGGGAATCAGGGAACCAGGTCGAGGCTAAGGAAGGTCCCAGGCAAGAGGCTGCAGAACCCACGGAGCTGATTCCAGGACATCAGACTAGAACCCAGAGGACCAACAGGACAAAAGAAGAGGCCGGGGCCAGGTCCCAGAGGCCGCGCCAGGAGTCAGGCCATGACCAGGGCAAGGACCTGAAGGCTATCCCCTGGGGCCTGGCCAGGGCTGCACTGAATGGCAGCCTCTGAATGCGGAAGGATCTCACCTGTGACCCGCTCACCCTGACGGTGCAGGAGTCCTGCGGAGGCCGCCACCGCGGAGGCCGCCACAGCGGAGGCCAGGAAGCGCCACTCGGGGTCGCCCAGCGTCACTGGGGAGCTCTGACTAGAAGGGGACCTTTCCATCTGAGAGGCCTGGAAGTGCCTCCCGGTGGTCTTGAGGCGACCTTTTCCAAGCCAATGTCCTCCAGGCACTAAGAATGGCAGTGCTGAGTTCGTGGCTGGTCCCCGCCGTGACCCACCCTCCAGCCTGTGGGACTCAGTAGGGGCAGGTGTGGCCGTTGCTGCTTCCCACAAGGCAGAGTGAAGAGCAGCTACCCTGTGTCCGCCAGTCCCTCCTGAGTTCTGCCCATCAGTAGCCACCTCTCCCGTCTTACCTTAGGTTTGTGTGATTTGCACCTCGTTGGCGTCTGCGGGTCACTCCAGTGCCTGGTGACCCCGTTTGCAGATCTCCATGTCCTGAGCCCTCCGGGCCCTCTCCCCATCCTCACCCCGGCTCCTCTCTGCATCCTAACAGATTTGCTGCGCTGAGCTTCGCAGGACACTGAGTTATGAAACAAATTCTGCCAAATGGAAGTATTTGCCACCAAGCACATTTCACCCGGGAAAGGGGGAATTTTCATCTATCAAAAGCCCATTTATTTCAAGGGGGCCTATCACTCACTGAAATTCACAGGAGAAAGAGTCCCAAGAAAATCAAGGGCATTTGCATTACAATCCACCTCGGTGCCCAAAAATATCCCGCTGAACATGCAGAATTTCAAGGAAAAGAGTGTTTTGCTTATTTGCAGGAAAGAAACGAATGTTCAAGGGTTGGCAGGGGTGGGGGTGGGGAGTGTGGTTTAACATTTCAGACGTGGAGAGTAAAACATTTGGTAAACGTTGACCAGAGAGTCACCTTTGATCCTGCAGGTCTTGGGGCTGGTCCTGGCAGGGACAGCCAAGGACCCATGGGCGGTACCAAGGGGAGGCGCTGCGCTTGGCCGCCCTGGCTCTGTAGCCGGCTGGCCGGTTCTGAGGTCTCAGCGCTTCTCCTTCCTCGTCTTCCACCCTGCAGGTGTCCTTAGGACTCTATCCGTGTTTACAAACTTGCACAGGACAGTGAACTTGACCTTCCCACCCTCCTCCTGGGAGCCCACCTTCCTTATCTCAAAGGCGGACCGCCTATGAAGTCTTGTGCTTGAGCCTAAACTCAGTGTGACCTATACAACTCCATCATAGTCTGACTTTAATATAAAAGAGCTGAAAATGAGTCCCGGTTAGGGAAAACCCAAAAATTAACAACAGAAGTCTTCCTAGTTGGCTCATAAGTTAAAGTGGGGGGAGGGCACTGGTTTTGATTAAAACAACAGTTGACCCTGGACAATTCCTTGGGACCAGGTATAAGGACAACAGCCTCCAAACACTGTTTGACATGGGGAGATAAGTTATCTTCCCAAAGTCCCAAGACTGCAAGGAAGGACCCCCAATCAAGTCTGTGTGACTCCCGGACCCAGGCATGGCGACCATTCTTCCACAGCCTGGAGGCCAGCAGTGCCCGGATGGGGGCTGAAGGGAAGAGGGGGACGGCCCATCAGGGGACATCCCCGCCATTTCCCTTCTTCTGCATCACGGTATTGTAAGAACCCGTACTTACATGAACACAGCGCTCAACGCTTTCTGTCCCAAGTTATTGCTTCATCCTCGGGGATTTGCAAATGGAGAGGCTCTGGAGGTGACTCCAGAGGCATCAGGCCTTGTGATCTTAGGTTGACCTTGGAAAGATCTTGATGAGGGCCCTGTCCTGCCCGGGGCCCTCCAGCCCTCCTGTCTGTCCTCTGCAGAGCACATTTTCAGTGGAGAAAGAAACACGACCTCTGCTCAGAGTCTCTATTTTTACTCTCTTGCAATAATTTTCATTGCACCCGAGCCCTCCCGGTTCCCAGACCTGTCTGCGATAAATGTATTTGCCTTGGAGTCGATGTCTGAGGATGCCGATCCTTGAAAGACAATCTGCTAAGTACTTTAAAATATTAAATATCTGTGAGCCACATTTCCCAGGGTTTTTTCCCCTTCTCCTTTTGTGATAAAGCCTCTCCGGGGAGAAACCCATGGTTCCAGACTGGAGGGGGCTCTCTGTTCTTTCTTGCCTCCCCGCCTCCCATCTCTCTGACCCTCTTGGTGTTGGAGGAGCAGTGTGAACCTGCAGGTGTTGGTGGCTTTACTTCCTGCTCCTTGCTACCTGTAGAGGCAGGTCTCCAGCTGACATCTCAGAAGGAAGCCTGGCTCTCGGGCCCTTGGGGAGGTTAGGCCTCTAGTCTGGGTCCAAGTCCACTGCTGAGTCAGCCTCTGCCCCTCTCACAGCAGCCAGGCCTGTGGTTCATGGGCCTGAGGTGACCAGATGGGTCTTCTTTCTCCTCCTTTCCCTGCTGCAGCCTCAGGGCCTGGGGAGCAGAGTCGGGGTCTGCTTATTCCCACTCTCCTTGGACCCGATGCCTCTGGTGCTGGGGGTCTGAGGGTGGAGCAGGAGGTGGGAGAGCCCTCTCTTTCCCTGATCACCTGGGTCATGAACCTCTCCTTGTTGGTGGCTGCTCCTCCCTGGCCAGCCCTGAGGGCCGTCGGTGCTCCTGTGGGCAGCCACTGCATGCAGGACAGGTCTTCACTGAGCACCCACAGGTGACGACTTGGAGAGGTGCCTTCCCACTGTCCCTTCCTGGTGGTAGGAGAGCCCGCTCCAGCCTGGCTCCTCCGTCTCCCCTGGCTCTCCCTGGTGGTAATCTGTCACAGCTTCCCAGGTCCCTTGGCATGGAGGCTGATCCACCACATCCTGGCCTCCGTCCACCAGGTCTACCCAGTCTCCAGAAATTCTACAGCTCTCTCTCCTGCTCTACCCTCTCTTCTCCTTTTCCTGCTCAGGAGATAGGATCCCGAGACAGAATAGCTGGCCCCCTGCCTGAGCAAATACCAATCAGGGACATGAGCTGCCCTCTCATTCTGCAGAGCCCTCAGTGTGTATGGGTGGACCTTTCCCACCACTAGCCTTGGGGATGGAACAGGGGACCCTGCTGTCTTCCTCCAAGGCTGGGCAAGGGAGGGAAAGGTCCACCTTCCTTCTCACTGGGCCAAATACACATTTAAACAATTCCCCTCCCCCCATGTTCTATGTCTGCCCAGATGGGGGAGGGCAAGAGCCCGTCCAGCCATCTCTTAAATAAACCCTGATGAGGTGTCTCAACCCACTGTTCTTTAGAATCTAATGCTAATTCTTCATTCCATGTCCTCTTTGAAGAATACCTTGGAGATATTGTGGGTTTAGTTCCCAATCCATTGCAATAATGTGACTATCAAAATAAAGCAAGTCATATGAATTTTTTTGTTTCCCAGAGCATGTAAAAAGTATATTTACACAATAGTACAATAATATTATGTCTTTTTATTAAAGTATGTACTTTAACTAAAAAATACCATATTGCTGAACAATATTAATGATCATCTGAACTGTTGGAAAATGGTGCTCATAGACTTTCTCAGGGTTGCCATCTACTCTGGGATAGATCCCAAGCTAAGTATATTGTGCTTCTTACAAACTTTCATTTGTAAGAAGCACAATATCTATGCAGTGCAGTAGAGCAAAGTGCAGTAAAACAAGATCTTCTGTGTATACAGATGGATAATTTTCATTTTTATAAGTCAGAGTCCACCTTTCACCCTGAAAAGATGAGTGGCAGAAACTCACTCTCCCAGCCTCCCTTGCAGCTAGGGAACAGGCACGTTACCCAGATTTCTATGACCTCATACACCAACCTGATTTTGAATTAGAAACCAGTAAAGTAAAGAATTCCTTCATGGAGCCGGGCAGAGAGAGTGGTGCATGCCTGTAATCTCAGCAGCTCAGGAGGCTGAGGCAGGAGGATGGTGAGTCCAAAGCCAGCCTCAGCAAAAGCAAGGTGCTGAGCAACTCAGTGAGACTCTGTCTCTAAATAAAATATAAAATAGGGCTGGGGATGTGGCTCAGTGGTTGAGTGCCCCTGAGTTCAATCCTGGTAACCCCTCCCTCCCCCCAGAAAAGAATGACTTTATAGAAAGAATGACTTTATAGCCATAGGGTTGTATCCAGTTTCCAGGGGACAGTGACAGGGTCCAGTGAGGTCAGAAGTGCAAGCAGCAGGGCCTGTGCCAGTAGCTATACTGTAACGTCTTTGTGGCTCCTTCAGCATGTGACTTGGCACGCTGCTCTGACCTGCATACAGGCTCTCCTAAGAGTCGATAGGCTTCTCCAATGTTCTCTCAGTAAATTTCTTTTCCTAAACCCATCATAACTAAAACAAAAGCGCATCAGTGTATGGAAGAGGACTTTCAAAGTTGCTGCCTGTTTCCTTACAGATTTGTCTGAAATGATGATGAATCAAACTATGCTATTTTCGGCTAAAGCCTTCTGATTTATTTTTTTTTAACGACTCACAACACATTGAAAAAAAATTGAATGGAAAACACTTTTAGGCAAAAAATACTTAGTGAATGATGTAGGAGCTCTGAGACCCTCAGACTGTGTAGTGACTTTGGTAAGAGCTTTCTTATTTAACCTTTGACCACTATAGAATCAACCTCATCTTCACAAATATTCTTGTTGATAGTGTGCTAGGTTACAAAATATCTCAGGTAATATTGGAAATTCTTCACCAGTATTTTTCCTATAGAAATTTTGTCCAAAACCATTATAAAATAATCAAAAGGTATATAAAATGTTCAAATTATGAACACTAAAGTTTTACCCAAATGTATAGTAAGTCAATAATGACAATTCCTAAAAGTTTTATTGAGCATCTACTCTGGGATAGATCCCAAGCTAAGTATTCATTACTTCATTTCATACTTACAACAAATCTATGAAAGTAGAATTATTGTCTCCATTTTATGTATAAGGCAACTGAGGCTAGAGAAGTCAGATATCCTCACTCTTTCAACCAGTTGTTCATTTTGGTAGCTATAACAAAAAGCCACACGCTGGGTAGCTTATCAACAACAGAAATTTCTCACAGCAAAAAAAAATAATAATAATAAAATAAAATAAAAAAATAAATAAAAAATAAAAAAAAAGAAATTTCTCACACCTCTAGAAGCTGAGAAGTCCAAGGTCAAGGTGGATTCTGTGTTTAATCAAGGACCATTTTCTGGCTCATAGTGCTGTATGTTGGAGTATCTTATGATGCTTAAAAATAAAATAAAACAAAAACAATGCCCCAAACAATGGAAGTATCTCAACAGAACACGGGATCAAACCCAAAGAGTCCCAGTGGAAAAACTGGAACAATCTGAACAACCAAAGAAGGTGATATTATATTATAACCCAAAGTATAAAATAAAAGTATCTGAATTAATTCTGAAAGAAAGACTAGGAGGAGAAAGGAATCTCCTGTACAGAACTCCCAGCAATTGATGTGGATAGCTGCTCCTCATGGAAGCCAAGTACAGCTCCTCTTCCCGAGGGAGGGCTCTAGGTAGACTTCCCCCCGAACAGCAGAGTGTGGAAGGCAGCGGAGTCTCACTTCCTGGTGGAGAACCCCTGCAGGCAGACCTCAGCCAGGAGATCAGGTCAACACCACAGAGCTGAGTCCTGAGAACAGGGCCCCTTCCAATGAAGTAATGCAGATGTGCTTCAGCTGGCCCTCTCCTCCCTCAGACTCCCTCCTCTTAAGGGGTCACGAGGGAGAAAATAAGATAAATCCCAACTGAAGGACATCTCAAGAAATACCTGATTAATACTCCTCAAAGTGCCAACATCATTCAAAACAAGAAGCCTGAGACATTGTTGCAGCCCTGCCACCCAAGGAGACGTGATGACTAAATGCAATGCAGTATTCTAGAATAGAAAAAGGTAAGCATGGAAATCTGAATAACATACAGACTTTAGTTTAAAATAATGAGTCAATATCGGTTCCTTAATCAAATGAACTAAATCAAGGTAAGATATGGATAACAGGGGACACTGGGTATGGAGTATGTGG